AAACGTGGGTGACCTCTGCTATGCTGCGGTGCTCTCTACAGTAGGTAATTAAAGAAAGCTGCTCCTGAATTGGAGCAGTTATGTTGGGAGTAAAAGAAGTCTATGTAAATCGGCCTAGGGAGTACGCTGCACAAAGTTCAGATTATACAAGGAACTGGGAGAAAGGGACTTGGATCCAATTTTCAGACTCACCAGGCTAAGGATAGTTCCGTTGTTGCAACCCCCTCAGTTCTTATATGAACCCGGTAAACTCAGATTGGATAGTTCCATTGATGTAACCCCTTTAGTCCTCATACGGACCTGAAGCTAAGCTTAGATTGCAAGTAGTCCAACAATGTATTAGCTCTTTTGTATGTAGCTGTAGGTTGGACAGAAAGTGGGAGGATCTTTCTTTGGAGAAATATTTGTTGTTAGAAAATGCCAACCCAGAAAACATACTTTGAACGCATGTTTGATTGCGTGGAAAACTGAAGCCATGTTGCCCCAGATTCAAGTTTAAATTCAAGCCAATAGGTATGAACCACGGCTTAGAGGGAGAAAATAGGATCGGCCTGGGCTAAAACTGAAATGGAGTCAGTTATGACCATAGAGTCAGAAGACAGAAGATTAACTCTTCGTACGAGGCGAATGAAAGGCGTTGAGCTTGTCAGAGAACTCCGGCTTTCTATGATTCATTTTATTTGTTCATTTTTTACTTGTAAATAAATTTTTTCCTATACTCTGTAGATTTACTCACAACAGTTTACAGGCTTTAGATTTCCTTTATTTCATACCACCTTTAAATAATATTAGGCCTTACCACAACCACTGCAGTCAGAAATTGCCAGATTTGTAAATTGTAATTTTAAAAAACCCTAAACTCATCAAATGTGGTAAAAAAACGCTGAGCTGAATTTTAAAATATTATTGATTTGAAAATAACTAAATCATTTTGCCAAATTTATTTAACTTTAAGTTTCATTTCACCGTTCCACNTGTCTGTCTTGTCTGTCTTGTCTGTCTTGTCTGTCTTGTCTGTCTTGTCTGTCTTGTCTGTCTTGTCTGTCTTGTCTGTCTTGTCTGTCTTGTCTGTCTTGTCTGTCTTGTCTGTCTTGTCTGTCTTGTCTGTCTTGTCTGTCTTGTCTGTCTTGTCTGTCTTGTCTGTCTTGTCTGTCTTGTCTGTCTTGTCTGTCTTGTCTGTCTTGTCTGTCTTGTCTGTCTTGTCTGTCTTGTCTGTCTTGTCTGTCGTGTCTGTCTTGTCTGTCTTGTCTGTCTTGTCTGTCTTGTCTATCCTGTCTGCTCTCTCTTTACGTAAATGTATGTTAAATGTATATTTTGTCTATGGGATTTGTCCAATTTGTCTCATATAAGCAGGGCCCTGTCTGAAAGTCTAGGTCACATGTTCAATATGTCTATCTATCTATCTCTATATATATATTTCTATCCATATATCTACAGGGTGTCCCAATAAACATAAGAATTGATAGAGGACTTGGAAGTCGTCTTTGATTTATAAATTTTAATGTATGGTACAGAAAGTATAAAACAAGGCTGTCCGTCTAACGATTGTTCATAAAGTACGTGATCTACCTTTCTTGTGTCTTAAAAATTAACGAAGACGATATGAAGACAATTTTGATTTATCAAACAAATTGAAATTTTTAAAATTTTCCAATATTTCCGTCAATTTTGATAATACAAAAATAGTAGACCCCATTTTGAAAATCTTCGGACCATGGCCGGGCGTTTTCGATATTAGATGTTTTAACTGGGTTACTGCAATAATGTGATTATAAAAAAAAAGCCGCATGGAACTAAGATGGAACGAAGATGGAACGAAGTCCTCACAGAATTCCCATGTTTATCTATATATCTATCTTTCTTTTTTTCTACATATATATACATCTATAATATATCTAAATATTTTTCTTTTTATATACATATCTATACATTCATATATATATAAGAATGTTTAACATCTATAATCTATCTATCTATATATTTATTTATCTTTCTTTTTATCTGTGAAATTATTTATCTGTGTCGACAAGTTATTTTCAACCCGTAGAAAAATAGATCATAAAATACAATAATTTTTATGATTATTTTAAACTTTTTCTAGTCCTTGGTTCTTGTCATATTTAATTTGACCAGAAGTCAGAACTTATGAATCGCGGGATCAAGCATTGATCTTCATCTTAAAAAGACTGTTCGCCAAAAATGGGTATAGGCTTACGTCGATAAATATTCGATGTTGATTGCTAATAATCTTACTTCTATCTGTTGAGTAAAAGGAGAAAATTGTTAAAATCGACTCATGCTGAAGAACGTAGCGTCCATACAAATTCAGAAAGTTGCAATATTCAACTCAAAAAGTAAAATAATCAATTCAATTCAAAAAAATATACAAATATTTCAAACAATAGTCATAAATTAATTTTCGGCTCATTTAACTCATTTGACTCATTCGTATATAGTTAATCTTTCATAATATTTTTGATTTTGTTTTTTTTTTAAATAATATTTCGCTAGTGCTGGATTTTAGAACATTCCTGGAAAATATGAAAATGTCGTCTTCATTATCAAAAATCCTCGAAACAGGAACTATATCAGATCATAAAAAATCAAAAATATTATGAAATATCAACTTTATATGAATGCGTCAAAAAATAATCCATGACTATTGGTTGTAATATCTGAATGATATGTTTGGAATTAAATTGATTTTTTACGATCTGTGTTGAATATTGCAACTTTCTGACTTTGTATGGATGCTACGTTCTTCGGTATGAGTCGTTTTTAACAATTTTCTCCTTAAAGATGCAACAGATAGGAGAAAGATTAGATGCGATCAAAAGCGCTTGAAGCTCACACTGGTTACATCTTAGCTATGAGTATGTAATAGGACTAAAGGGGTTACAGTACACCTGTATATAGAGTGATCATATTTCTAGGGGGGATTTTATTGAAGAATATGAAGTTCGAGAGCCAGTTGTATTCGGATTGATACAGACTTAAAAGAACTATTGGAGTAAGACATTTGGTAAAAAAGTGGTAGCAGCAACGACACTTATGAACCCTAGTTTAAATACCAAGTTTAAATCAAAGGAAGAAAAGTACAGTGATTACCTTGTTTAACTGGTCATAAGAGAAACTATGTTGGAAGAAACAGTAACAGTGCAACAACAAGTTAACACTGCAACAAGAGTGTACAGAGTACCAGAGTGTACAGAGTACTAGAGCGTACAGAGTACCAGAATGTATAGAGTACCAGAGTGTACAGAATGCCAGAGTGTACCAGAGTACCAGAGTACCAGAGTGAAACAGTGGATAGTTTTAGATTGTACCCTAGAGTAATCAGTAAAGAATCGAATCCAGAACCTAATATGGAGGAAACAGAAACATCATTTGGAAACTGTTAACCCACAGAATTTGAAATCATGATGCAAAAGATGGAGCCAGGGGAAGGGATGAGGAAACAGAAACATTGTGGAAAAGTACCCATGAAAGTAAATACAATGCCAGGAATAATTGTGAACGAGGTTAAAGATGAAAGAGGAGAGATGTCTGGTGATGTCAACTCGCTGCAATCCAAAGATAGTTGTTTATTTTGAAAGAAAACTGGTCATCAGAAGATAGATTGCTGGTCCTATGAAGACTGGAAGGAGAAAAATCTAAACTGGAAGACAGGAAGTATGAACAGGAAACCAGTTTCCTGCTATAACTCTGGAAGTGAAGAACATATATCACGTGATTGCAGAAGTAAGAGGCAGGACTCAGGGTGGAGAGATGAACAACAAAATCAAGGAGGCGGACAAATGGCGGAAATGGTGTGAGAGGCAGAACTCAGGGCTGAGAGATGAACAACAAAGTCAAGGAGGCTGACAAATGGCGGAAATGGCAGAATCTGGAACGGATATTAAAGAGGTGTCCAAGAAGATAGCATCGGATATACGGCTTTTTCAGTTAAGGGTTTCAATAACCGATGTCTGGAAACCCTGGAGATGTCAATTACATGAAAAAAAATTATACTGATTTAAGAAACATTTCCGATAGTTTAAATGTTTGAGGCACTGATAGTTCACGGAATTGTAGACATGCGGATTGTGCCATAGTTGAGACATTGATTGATTAATAGCTAGTGTCCTTGTAGAAATTGATTGATAGTTCATGGGATTGTAGCCGTGTTTTGACATTGATAGTCAAGAGAATCTGAGTTGTACCTGGATAGATACTTGTTTGAGAAATTGTTATGGAGTAGGGTTTTTACTACACATTGAATTCTAGAGAGAGTTTTATCTGAAAGATACTAAAGAATACAGAGATGATGTATCTGTATGTGTGAGAATAAAAAAATATTATACATTTGTTGAATGATATATAATATGTTACAAAATAAAACATTTATATCAATTTATTTAGGTACTTAAACTTTAAATCATGGCTTCAGAATTGCTGGTATAGGAGCAATAGGAGGGCGCGTGTATGGGGGCCTCAATCATTAAAAAGCCCATGTGCAGACTTTCAAAACACGTATCCCCCCCCCCCCTATATCATCAGTTCACAATGTTTTAATTGTTCCGCATTTGTTTTCAGAACAAAAATATTACTGCTCGGAATTACTCTTAGCGTAATTTTAAAAATTCAGATTTTTCTCTCTTTGACTTTGTCTTCATAAACTCGTAGGTTCACCCAGCAACCCCCTGCCTAACCTACCACCTTATGTTTTCATTTCCCCTCCCCCCACACCCGCCCCCCCCTTCCTCACCTCTCTCTCTTTTTGTATAAATACTTGGAGTCGGGTACAGTCTCACGAACCGGAGCGCTCACAAGTTTAGAGAAACTTATTTTCGCGATAAAACACCACTTTTCTCAAACACTACAGTAAACTAGACTTTTTAAAGCATTTAATGCTACTTGAATTTTAATATGTTGGTGAAATCCTGAAGAAAATTCTCGAAAACCATTTTTGAAAAAATATTCGCGAAATTAAGTTTCTTCGAAAAGTTAGTGTTTATGGCTGTGTGTGTGGCGGGTTGGGACGGTTAGGACGAGTTTCTATATCTCCCGCTCAGTTGCTCAGTCAGTCAGTGCTAGGTGCAGGAGAGAAGAGTAGACCCACGCTTCAGACATAAACAAAGAGACTCAACACGTTTCCAGACTTCAGGTAGTGCACTTTACCGACGAAAGAAATTTTTCAATTTCCCGCATTTTTTGTGATTTTTGTGTTAAATGTCAAATTTACTTACTTTTTGGTTCTCAAGATTTGAGGATTTTTTACAGTTTAAAAACGGCGGGCTCAATATACGGAAAAGCAACGCGTAGGCATGAACAAATCACAAATTTTCTGCATTTTTTGTTATCATTCAAGGTTTTAATTTAAATCCACTTACAAATTTCCCGCTGCAATTTCAAATCTCGAGAGAGTACAAAGTTGATCTAGAAACGCTAAAATCTATTGTGGGGGGGGGAGGAACCTGCATACAGGGGCGGATACAGGATTTAAGGTAGGGGGGTGCTAGATATATTTTGGAACAAAAAGTCAAGATTCAGGAACCAAAAGACACGCCGCAGGCGAAGATTTGTTTTGACTTTCCTGTTTTGCATTAAGTTTTCTTTCCCTTAAGTGCTATTGAGAAGTTATTCTGAAATCTCAGGGGGGGGGGG